CCCAGACCCTGGGCTCTCTGCATACACCCCACAGCACCTCCGGGACCCCCAGACCCCAGGCTCTCTGCAAACACCTCACATCACCTCCGGGACCCTCAGACCCCAGGCTCTCTGCACACACCCCACAGCTTCACAGCCAAGAGTATGTCCCACATGCCCTGGCTGAAAAGACAAAGTCAGGAGCGGTCAACTTTGTCAGAAGAAAAAAAAAAATCTAACTTTTCAAAAATATCTTTTTCAAATTATATCAACAGCAACTTTATCCAGGCTTTGTGAAATGAACCTAAAATGCTCACCTAAAAAATGTTTTGAAAAAGATCAATATATTCAGGTTTTCAACAGTGTGTAAGCTGACATGAAACAGGAGCACAAGGAGCCCTGGGGAAGCCACCAGAGGAGAAGTCCAGAGAGCGTCTCCATGGCCACAGGCAGCGTGTGTGGGATGTCTGCTCACAGCCCTCTTCTCATCTGGTTTTAAAGGTCATGTCAGTGGCCCTCACTTTTGCTGTACTCCAGAAACATGCATGGAGCTCTGGGACATGTAGACCCAGCTCCTCTGCAGACCAGGGAGCCTGGGACCATACTGAACCCACAGTGATGCTGATACCCACAGAAGGTCACATTCTCAGCACTAAGGTGGATGAGTTTTTTTCAAATCACGGGAAAATACAAAGCAGCATGAAGACAAAGACCTTCGTGTACATGCTCACATACAGGAATGTCTGAGAACTGAAACTTAACTCCGTGGCTGTCTCACCTGGCCATCAGCACACCCAGTGACCAGCTGCCTGCTTTCTGCATCAATGAATAAGCTGAGTAGAGGATATGCTGGTGAAAGGAACATCAGAAAATTTAGCTTTATAAGCGCCTGGTACCAATTAAGCCAAGAACTATCAGTTTTACTTATCTCTTTACACATATTTACTTACAGTATTTCTGTTAGTCAAGTTTGAACTATTCCAAAATAATTTCTTCCAAAAAAAAGGTAAAAATTGTATGTGAATACAAATGTTGAAAACCTCATGCACACAAGGAAGGCTGAGGAAGTCACCCAAAAGGACGCCCGGGGAGTCCGCCACATATTGGTCCTGAGGATTCCCATCCCACCTGCCCAACAGAAGGCCTGGTGTGATTAAACCACCACCCAGTCCTCAGCTGCTTTATAACCTAGATGGAGGGAAGCACTGGTGTTCAATCAACATTGCACTTGGAGCAGAAGGATTCCTGAGTCAGCCAGATATAATAAAATTATGGACTTAGTAATGAAAACAGCAATTAAATGGATATCTGGTTTTCCTGGAAAAAAAGATTTTTGCCTAGGATGTCATTTTATTCAAACTGTCAATAATTCAGGAAAATTAAATAAATGAATATTGAAAAATACTACATGTCCTAATTAAACTATAAATGAAATCTAAGATCAAGTGTATCATTGTTCTTGGCAACTCCATATCATTAATTTCAGTAAAAAGATTCCAACATGTTTCCAAGAAAAGTGCTTCACCTTGAGAGAAGGCAATGTATTCAAGTCATTAGAGTACCGTAATCTACACATGGATACATTGACCTCAGAAAGAATGTTAAATCTCTGAGAGGCTATAACAATAACTCTACTAGTATCTGTATATGCTTTAAGTGGCATTTTCTTTTTCTTTTTTTTTTAACAGAAATTGATGCTTACTGAGAGAGTAAAAGAGATGCCAATATTCCTACTGAAAATGTCCACCTTAACAGGACGTGCTGTTGAGCCCACATGCCATGAGACAGCTTAGCATGTTATCATAGCACTTTTTTTTAAATTGCATTTTAGGTTTGGGGTACATGTAAAGAACATGCAAGATTGTTGCATACGTACACACATGGCATTTTCATGTCACTTACCCCACGAAAGAACGCTGTCCTTTTAGTTCCCTACCCCTCTTCTTCTGGGAAGACAGAACGTGCACAAGAGGAACAAAGCGAATGCAGGAAACCAGTGCCCTGAGGCGCCCGGGGGACACCACCGGGCTGCACTGGAGAGGTGCTGGGGCTGCATTGGTGTGACCGTGTGCCAGTCTCATTTACCAACACAAAAGCCATCTGATTAAGAATGCAACGACCCTAGCGGTCACGAGCTGCACACATGCTCAGTGCTTGGCCCAGAGGCCGCCGTGTGGCGCACTGCCGCGCACGCGGGATGAGCAGGGCAGTCCTGGCCCCACCAACACCGCTGGTTCTGGGACTTGCTTCTACAGAGAGCAGAGGGCTCGCCTTCCCTAGGTACTCTGGCATTTTATCTGACAGCAAACATGCTTTACTCTTTTCCAAAACAGAAAGGCCCCGACTCCAATTAAACACGTTTAATTTTAGTTGAAAAACTTCAAGGGCATTCACTGTTAAGTGAATCCTTTCCCTATGCGGAGGGTCCTGAAGGGCTGTAAGCCTGAGATCGTCTCATTCACATCCACCTGAATGTTACAGCTTCATCTTATGCCCTGAAATATGCTGTAGAATAACTGGGTTATTTACAGGAAACATGAGAGTTTTAAATTTACCTGATAACACAGATGAACTGTATATTAACGATCCTGTACAATGGTCCCAGACCTTTGGATAAACATAGAGAAGAATGTTGCCATTATTGCAATAGGTTAAGCGAACAGTACTACCCAATATTAGATTAGTCAAAGTAAATGATTATCTAAAACAGAAAGCAATAAAATGAGCACAACATAAAAATGTAGAAACACAATAAAAGATATCAGAATCAAAAAGAAAAAAAATCACATCACTTCCATAAATAACCCCTGATGGATTTGAAGACTTGGAAACAAAAATGAAACAAGGTTAGAAATAGCTCCCAGGCACTTGGTCAACACTGCCAAGATAGGGGCACCAAGCAGAAACTGTAGTAGTCTACACCCTGTCATCTGCACACTCACGTGTCAGGCCCACACCCTGACCTCCAGGTACACAATTGCATGTCAGGTCTACACTGTCTGGTGCACACCCGGGGGTCATGTCTACACTGTCAGCTGTCAGGTGCACACCCGTGGGTCAGGTCTACACTGTCAGCTGTCAAGTGCACTCCCATGGGCCAGGTCTACACTGCCAGGTGCACACCCATGTGTCATGTCTACACTGTCAGCTATCAGGTGCACACCCGCGGGTCAGGTCTACACTGTCAGCTGTCAAGTGCACTCCCATGGGCCAGGTCTACACTGCCAGGTGCACACCCATGTGTCATGTCTACACTGTCAGCTGTCAGGTGCACAACCACAGGTCAGGTCTACACTGTCAGCTGTCAGGTGCACACCCACGGGTCAGGTCTACACTGTCAGGTGCACACCCATGGATCAGGTCTACATGGTCAGGTGCACACCTGCATGTCAGGTCTACACTGTCAGGTGCACATCCACATGTCAGGTCTACACTGTCAGGTGCACACCCATGGGTCAGGTCTACATGGTCAGGTGCACACCCGAGTGTCAGGTCTACACTGTCAGCTGTCAAGTGCACACCTGCGTGTCAGATCTACAATATCAGGTGCACACCCATGGGTCAGGTCTACACTGTCAGGTGCACACCCATGTGTCATGTCTACACTGTCAGCTGTCTACACACCCACAGGTCAGGTCTACACTGTCAGCTGTCAGGTGCACACCCACGGGTCAGGTCTACACTGTCAGGTGCACACCTGTAGGTCAGGTCTACATGGTTAGGTGCACACCTGCATGTCAGGTCTACACTATCAGGTGCACATCCATGTGTCATGTCTACACTGTCAGCTGTCAGGTGCACACCCACAGGTCGGGTCTACACTGTCAGCTGTCAAGTGCACTCCCATGGGTCAGGTCTATACTGCCAGGTGCACATCCATGTGTCATGTCTACACTGTCAGCTGTCAGGTGCACACCCACGGGTCAGGTCTACACTGTCAGGTGCACACCCATGGGTCAGGTCTACATGGTCAGGTGCACACCTGCATGTCAGGTCTACACTGTCAGGTACACATCCACATGTCAGGTCTACACTGTCAGCTGTCAGGTGCACACCCGCGGGTCAGGTCTACATGGTCAGGTACACACCCGAGTGTCAGGTCTACACTATCAGCTGTCAAGTGCACACCTGCATGTCAGATCTACAATGTCAAGTGCACACCCACGGGTCAGGTCTACACTGTCAGTTGTCAAGTGCACACCCACGTGTCAGGTCTATACTGTCAGGTGCACACCCGTGTGTCAGGTCTACACTGTCAGGTGCACACTTGCGTGTCAGGCCCACATTCCGGCCGCCAGGTGCACACTCATATCAACTGGATAAAAACTGAAGTTGCATTTCATTTTCTTCTAGATCCTCATTTTGTTCTGACTGAGCCCTCTACCCTGGAACTGGCTCTTCTGCTCTGGGCCTGGGAAATGCCGTGCAGAAGAATTCCTGCTTGGGCTCTCTCAGGCCCTGGATTCCACTGTGGGAAAGCTGGGGCCATCCAATAAGTTATCCAAGCCCAGCCAGCGGCCCTGCAAACATCAGAGCTTGGTGTTTATATGGCAGCTGGGACGGTGTTTACCTTGCAGAAGTGGGGTAGAAACACCCCCACTCAGGTGGCAGTGACCATGAAGCATCACGGCGTGGTGTTTACATGGAAATCAGGACAGCGGTCGCCTTGCAGAGTGAGGCAGAAACACCACCACTCAGGCGGCACTGGCCGTGAAGCAGCCACACAGCCCCCCTGTAACCACAGGTCTTTCCACAACGCGTGCCACGTGGGAATGCGGTCCAGTGTCCATCGCTCACCTTAAAGCCTCTGTCCTCGGATACCGAGATGATGATGCCTGCTTGCCAGGGACAGAACTCCACCGCGGTCACTGGGCCCAGGTGGCCCTGCAGCTTGGCCAGGACAGCCTGAGCCTGAGAGAATGTGTGCAGAAGGTCGGGGATGGAACTTTGTGGGGGTGATTAACATCAGGATGTTCTATGCATGTCGCAGAACATGGCTGCTATTAAAATAAGGCCCATATTATTCCTCTTTTCAAGTTGGAACTCTGTACATAAAACACGGGTGAAGACTCAGATGTCTAGCCAAGAGGAAAGCTTCAGCCATAGGCACAGTCTTGGCAGTGTTAACAGACGGCACTGACCAGAGCTGACCCTGGGCGAATTAGGAAGTGGCATCTCCTCAGGACTCCTGTCTCCACACCATCTGCCCCATGCATCCACCCTGAAGCTCCCTGCCTGTACCTCAAAATGTACTTCCCTGTGTTCCCAACCCCTCAGCGTCTGTTCTCCACCTGGGACTTCCTAAAACAAGACAAGATGGTATGGCAGTGGATGCTCATGAGTTACCCTTTCCTCCTGAAGTCCCTAAAACCTCCTACAGCCAAGACAGCACCCAGGAAGCCACTGTCACAAGCTGGCGACCCACAGGGCTTTGTGTTCATATGGAAATCAGGCTTGAAGGGCAAGAACTCAGAGGAAACAAAGTCCTCCTTCATGTTCCCTTAGATTCCCATTTCCTGATTTCTAACACTGCTTTCTAAAATTGCAAAGGGGACAGCTGACTATTCCAGCCACACACGAAGTACAAATCACACAGGCAGGGAGAGGTGACACATTTCCTTAAACTAATCCTGGTGATGAGATGGCTGCAAAAAGTCTGATTCTTGATAAAAGTAAAATTTTGATAAAAGATATAAGCAAAAGTGCTATGTTAGGAAGGATGCCTATAATCAGGGAATTTCTGAGAAATAAAAGTTTTGCAGAATGCGTTTTCTTAAGTCATGCCTGATACCCAGATTCCATGGGGAGTTTTAATATTTATATAAATATCACTATCTGATACCAGTGGTTTTCCAATTGCAAGGTAGAGATATGATTTTATAAAAGTAAACTAAATTTAAGATATAGCTTTTAAAAAAAGGGAGTACAGAAAAAAAGAAAAGAGAGTTGGGCAGGGTCCCAGAACCCAGGTGGCCCCATCAGCTATACCCTTCTGTGAAATCCAGGTGTGAAGTTCAATCTTACCTCAATATCCAGCATGAATATCTTGTTTCCAGCACACACAGCAACAACTCGATCATCCAGGCTCAACTGTAAACACAGCACCTTTCCCAAAAGTGAGCCCATGACAGTCCCTCGCGGGACCAGCCCTAGAGTGAGTTTCACCATTAGTACCCATTCACCAAATGCATTCAGCATTGCATTAATCTGAGAAAAGTACTAAGAATGTAATCCTCTATTCTAAAATTACTGAATGAATGACAATGAGTTTTGATGTGATTTTGATTCTTTAAGAATATCAAATATACTGAATATACAGAAGTCTGAAAACCTGGGAAATGCAGCACTTCCCTGCAGAGAATCCCTCAGCATCAAAACAGGAAGACGCCTTTCTCTGGAGGCTGCAGTGAGAGTCATGCACATTGAACTGCATGTTTTGATGCTTCTCACCCACATCCAACCCCACATGCACCCTCATGTCCAGGCTCAGCCAACATCAGTTGGAAGGAAGGCAGTAGGAGCTGATCCAACCCAGGCCTCCAGGGACTAAGCAATGTCAGGACACCTACAAACAGCCAGGAGGTTCCCGAGACCCAAACAACGTGTGCAGCAGCTGCAGCCTGATGCAAAGCCTGTTCTCCAAACCCGCAGAGATGAAGGAAAAAATGGCGGGCAAGGTTATCTGGTCCTGGTGTGCACCATGGACCTATCACCAGCAAAATACAGATATACTCCCCTCAGAGCCTGTGAGAGACACACGGCTCATGTCCCATAGCCACCAAGTCTAGAGAGACACGTGCTCGTGTCCCACAGCCTCCAAGTCTAGAGAGAGATATGCTCAGGTCCCATAGCCACCAAGTCTAGAGAGACACACACTCAGGTCCCACAGGCACCAAGTCTAGAGAGAGACACTCTCAGGTCCCACAGCCACCAAGTCTACAGAGACATACATGTGCTCATGTCCCACAGCCACCAAGTCTAGAGAGAGACACATGCTCAGGTCACACAGTCACCAAGTCTAGAGAAAGATACGCGCTCAGGTCTCACAGCCACCAAGTCTAGAGAGAGATAAGTGCTCATGTCTCACAGCCACCAAGTCTAGAGAGAGACATGTGCACATGTCTCACAGCCACCAAGTCGAGAGAGAGACACGCTCAGGTCCCACAGCCACCAAATCTAGAGAGAGACACGTGCTCATGTCCCACAGCCACCAAGTCTAGAGAGACACATGCTCGTGTCCCACAGCCTCCAAGTCTAGAGAGACACACACGTGCTCATGTCCCACAGCCACCAAGTCTAGAGAGACACATGCTCATGTCCCACGGCCACCAAGCCTAGAGAGAGAGACACGTGTGCTATATCCCTATATAGACTACATAGATTTATAGTTACTTTGCATTTGTGTTTTAATGTAATCCTCTAACTTCTCTATATAATTGTACAAAACTTGAATTCCTTAATGTGGTCCCCACCTAACTTTTTTACTTTCTCAGATAAGACTCTCCTAACATCAGCATGCTCCAAGAACTCCCAGGGCCTTGGCAAAGTCAGGTCCATCTGCCAAAAGCATAGCCCTCTATCCCATCCCTTCACATCCTCAGCCCACAGGCTCCTCCTTGAGATCCTGCTTCTCAAAGTGCTTCCATGCACGTGCATGCTGCCCTGTCCTCATCTGCCTTCTCTGCTGCACATCCACAATTCATAGCCATTCAGTCACTGGCTTCCACAGCAGCATCTGTCTGTCTCAAACTCTGAGCTGTGACTTCCACAGGATTTGGGACCAAGCCCTTCCTATTCACCACCGTGTTTCTAGCCTAAATAATTACAGGTGCTCAAGAAACCGTGCTGTGCAAGAACAGACTATTTCAACTTGCCTACATGTTTTCAGGTTGACACAAAATTGACAGTTTTTGAAATAAGAAGTGACATATCAAAACCAGTGAGCCTATAAGATCAGCATAACACACAACAAAGGTCAGTAAGTCTGAACGGGCCTGGTGTCCTCTCCATATAAAGCACCCTGCTTGCACACCTGGGTTCAAGGTAAAGGGAATACAAAATTACCCTAAATTGCCCTGAGAGATTGGTGTTACCCAAGGGAAACATCCCTTGGGTAGTACCAAGTATACTGAAGGATGAGTTATTCTGTTTCTAGGTTTTTAAAAACATGTTTTAGATTTTCACTTACCTTGAAGTACTTTCTTTCTACATTCATCCAGGTTCCACATTATAACATAATCCAGTGATGCTGAGCAGATTAGAAGTGGATTCACTTTATTTCCAAAAGCCATAGCAGTAATTGGCTGATGGTGTCCTCGTAGGATTAGAAGCTGAGAAAATTAACAAAAATCAAAAATAACACATTCAATAGACAACATTTAAAAATAAAAGAGTATAACAACATAACCTCAAACCTAATAAAAGATTGAGTTTTTCAAATACATTTATTTTACATATTCATTGTTAATTCATTTGTTAAAATTCCTGCTATGTACTACTAAATTATTCTCTCAGGTTAACCATTTCACTGCCATTCACTGTCACACACACTAATAAAATGATACAGGTTACCTCATTCTTCTATTTCTTTGTTACTTATTAGTTAACCAAATATAGAACATGTCTCTACTACCACATCAGAAGAGGTAACAGCTGAGCTGAAAACTGAGGAATAAGGAGAAGAATGAGGGATTGACAAGAGGAGGAGGACATTCAGGTCCCCAGAAAGACAAGGCATGGGTAAGAAACTGCCCAGACAAGCAAAGAAGTGAGAGGAGACTGGAGAAAGGTGAGGCCCAGGTGTGGGGACCTTGGCAATTACACTCTCTAGGGAATTAAAATCCAGCAAAAAACGTGCAGTCAGAATAATATAATGACCAGATTTGTTTTCCAGGAACATAACATTGCTACAAGTATGGAGGAGACGAGTGTTGGGGGTACAATGGGCTAGAGAGACAGATGGGAATGCATGAGAATGCTCAAGGAAAATCCAATAAAGACCTGGACTAAGATAATGATGATGGGGACAGAGAGAAGATGATGACTGAAGACTCCATGACCAATGGATATGGAGGGATGGAGGGAAAAACAAAAGTAAAGTGAATCAGGGTTTGAGGTTAAAATCTTGGGGGAACAATGTCTCAAGAACAAAAAACAAAGGGAAAATGGAATGGGACTGGGGTAAATCATGGTCCATTTGGTCCATGGTAAGTTGAGATGCTGATAGTGTGATGTTAAATAGACAATAGGCAGTTTGATATGAGAGATATCACTAGAGAATTCCACTTCTAATAAAGACAGGTTGCATTACCTCATCTGTACCAGCCCTACTGATGAGAAGGACAAAAAATGGACAAAATATGTAAAAAATATATGTATATATACACACACACATATATACACACAGAGAGAGACACACGTTTTGAAGATACCAGAAAGCAAACCAAGTCATTGAAGAATTATGATAACAAGATTATAGGGAAGAAAAAAACTGAGGGAAGTCACTACAGTATCTGGGGTCACTCGTCTCATAAAGACATCTACTAACGACATCTTCTGACAATTCCAGTAAAGGTAGCTGAGAAGCTGAGATTCAAGGGGCTAAGGGCACAAAAATGGTGTAATCAAATGAATCATCTTCTGGGGCACAAAAAGAACTACCATATTGGGAGAAGGGCAAAGATTTCTGTCACCTTACCCTTAATGTTGAGAACTCTACAATTTTTTTCCTGTAAAGAAATATGAATGGATTTTAGTAAATGTCTACCTAGAATACAATCTACCAAGATAAGAGGGAAGGGCATGCTGCTAAAACCCCTAGGCTTAGAATGGGAACCCCAAGAAAGAAAAAACCTAAGGAGTAAAGATGAACTGTAAATAAAACAGCCCTCACAAGAACTGAAACCCAGCTATGAATTGTCTTAATACCTGACTGGCTTAGGGTAATCTAGGATTGCCAGTGCCCTAAGCATGACTGATTTGGAAGAATGTAAGATAATCCAGAGTATCAAATCATCTATACTTTTTTTTCATATACGAAGTCCAGTAATCTAAAAAATAACCAGGTATTCCAGGAGACAAGACCATTTAGTCAAAAACGAAGAAAAATGAATAGAGAAATACAATACCACAAGTCATCCAGATAGACTTGAAACCAAACTAAAACTGATCCAAATGTTAGAATTACTAGACAATAACATTCAAACTATTACTAAGACTTTTTCCATATGTTCAAAAGTTAAGTAGAGGCATAGAACATATTTAACAGACCCAGATCTAACTTCTGGAGATGAAAACTAGAATTAGATAAAATTTGAAAAAAAAAACAGTGGGATTGATAGCATATTAGATGTTGCAGAGGAAAAGACTGGTAAATTTAAAGACAAACCAATAGAAACTATGCAAAAATGAAAGAGAAAAAAAGTATATTAACAAACATGAAAGCATATCAGTGAGCTGTGGGAAACTTCACGTGACCTGACATGTATGTGTAAGCAGCGTCCACAAAGTTTGGGAGGAAGGGAATGTTTGAAGAAATAATGGCTGAAAATTTTCCAAATTTGATGAAAACCATAAACCCATAGAACCTCAATGATAAAATCTGGATGGCCCCTCCAAATCCCATGTTGAGATATAATCCCTGGTGTTGGATGTAGGGCCTACTGGGAAGTGTTTGGGTCATGGGGCAGATCCTTCATAGCTTGGTGCCATCCTCACCATAGTGAGTTCTCACAAGATCTTGTCATTTAAAAGGGTATAGTACCTCCCCCTACCCCTTGCTCCTTTTGCTGTATGACATGCGTATTTCTCCTTTTGCCTTCTGCCATGATTATAAGATTCCTGAGGCCCTCACCAGAAGCCAAGTATTTGTTGGTGTCATGGTTGTTTCAACAAAAAGAGTCGAGCTCTGTAAAATATTTTAAAAGATTTATTCTGAGCCAAATGAGGGTGACTATGGCCCATGACACAGCCCTCAGGAGGTCCTGAGAACATATGTCCAAGGTAGTCGGTATACAGCTTGGTTTTATGTACTTTAGAGAGGCAAGAGACATCAATCAAATACACTTAAGAAATACATTGGTTTCTTTCAGAAAGGCGGGACAACTCAAAAGCTGGGGCTTCTAGTCTACAGGTAAATTTAAATATTTTCTAGTTGACAACGGATTGAGTTTATCTGAAAACCTGGAATCAAATAAAATGTTCAGGTTGAGATAAAGGATTGTGGATACCATGTTATATTGTGCAGAAGAAGCTCTCAGCAGATTTCAGAGAGAGCAGGCTGTAAAATTTTTCTTATTGGACTTAAAAGGGTGCCTGGCTCTTACTTGATTATCTCCTAGATCTGAAAAGAAAGGAAGGAAAACAAAGGGGAAGGGGGATTTTCTATAGAATGTGGATTTTTCTCACAAGAAACTTTGCAAGACAATTTCAAGGTATGGCAAGGAAATATATTTTGGGGTTGAATACTTTTTCTTTGTCTCATAATGTTATGCCAGAGTCAGACTGAAAAGTAAGTCATGATATATAGGTTCAAATAAAACCCATCTGATGAGAATTTGTGGTTTGTAGGGCATGACTCCCTAAACCCCTTAGGAAGGAATTTGGGCTAGATAAAAAATCAGAGTTTAGTCCTCACTTGTACAGCCTGCAGAACCACGAGCCAATTAACTCTCATTTCTTAATAAATTACCCAGTCTCAGATATTTCTTTCTAAACTCTGACCTTTTTCTTCTCTTGCCCAAATTCTTATCTAAGGGGCTTAAGGATTCACATCCTACAAACCATAAAGTCTTATCAGGGGGATTTTATTTAACCCTATATAACGTGGCTCACTGTCCAACCTAACTTGGCCATAACATCACATGACAGATAAAGAAGGAATTAAAATATGTTAACTCTAATTATGTTTCTTTGCCATATCTTGATAGGCCTGCAAAGCTGTCGCTTGTTGGGGGAAAATCTGCATTCTGTAGAGGATCCCCTTCCTTTTGCAGGTCTTTTTTCTGGAATCTTAGTGGATTCCAGAAAAGAATCCACTAAGACTCTGGCGCTAATAAATATTTACAATCTATTCTCTCTGCAGCCTGCTACCTGGAGGCTTCTTATGTATACTGGGGACCTTGGTCTTCACAATCCCTTATTTTAACCTAGACATTCCTTCTATTGAATCTAGGCCTTTAGATTAATAACTCTTTCAACCAATTGCAATTTAGAAAATTATTAAATCCACCTATGACCTGGAAGCCCCCACTTTGAATTGTCCCACCTTTCTGGACCTAACCAATGTATATATTACATGTATTGATTGATGTCTTATGTCTCCCTAATTGTATAAATCCAAACTGTGGTCTGACTAGGCACGTTAGGCACATGTTCTCAGGACCTCTTGAGACTGTGCTTCAGGCCACTGGTCACTTGTATTTGACTCAGAATAAATATCTTCAAATATTTTACAAAGTTTAACTCTCATTAAGAGACCAATTCATGAAAGGCCTAACACAGAAAATTGGTACCAAGGAGTGGGGCATTGCTATAAAGAATCCTAAAAATGCAGAAGCGGCTTTGGAACTGGTAGCCAGCAGAAGTCGGAAGAGTTTGGAGGGCTCAGAAGACAAGCAGATGATGGAAAGTTTGGAACTTCTTAGAGACCAGTTAAATGGTTATGACCAAAACACAGACAGTGATAAGGACAGTGAAGTATAGGCTGAGGAAGTCTCAGATTGAACTGAACTTACTGGGAACTAGAGGAAAGGTCATACTTGTTACGCCATAGCCAAGAGCTTGGCTATATTCTGTTCGTGCCCTAGGGCTCTGTGGAAGCTTAAACTTGAGAGTGATGGCCTAGGGACCTGATGGAAGACATTTCTAAACAGCAAAGTATTTAAGATGTCTCCTGGCTGGTTCTAACAACCTACGATCACATATGGAAGCAAAGAAATGATGTAAAGTTGGAATTTATATTTAAAAGGGAAGCAGAGCATAAAACTTCAGAAAATTTGCAGCCCAGCCATGTGGCAAAAAGAAACAGTGTTTTTGTGAGAGGAATTCAAGCAAGCAGTGGAGTAACCATTTACTAAAGATATTTGTGTAACTGAAAAAAGAACCAAATGCTGATAGTCAAGAAAATGAGAAAAAGGCCTCCAAGATATTCCAGAAATCTCCAAGGCAGTCCCTCCCATTACAGGCCCTGAAGAGGAGGAAAGAATGGTTTTGAGGGCTAGGACCTGCTACCCTACACAGCCTCAGGACACTACTCCCCTCTCCAGCTCCAGCCTCAGCTCAGAGAACCCCAGATATAGCTTGGGCTGCTGTTTCAGAGGGTGCAAGCCAC